GTCGGTGAAGTCGACGTACATTCTCCAAGCCTCCGTGTCCTTCTTGACCATGACCGGGTTGGACAACCAGGTCGGATATTGGACCTCTCGGATTATCTTTGCGGGTAGGAGTTTGTTCACTTCTTCACCTACAGCACGGCTGCTCTCAGGGCCGATGTGCCTCCTTTTTTGTTTGACCGGGCGTGCCTGGGGATCAACGTTCAACTCGTGTACCATAAGGTGATGCGAGACTCCTTGGACTTCATCTGCGGCCCAAGCAAAGACGTCTCGGTACTCTTTGAGAAAATCCAACATACCTTTCTTAATTGGGCCCGGTAGACGGATGCCGACGTGGACCGTCTGATCCGGATTCGTGGGGTCCTGGGAGATCTCCTCCACCTCATCTCCGGTCTCCAGACTCTGGGGCTTCTCAACTTGCTGAGAATTGATGCAATCAATTGAGAGGATGTTGGACCTCTTCTCGGGCCTCGTGCCGGAGGCCGATGTGGAAGCTGCTTGCAAAGTGGCGAGATAGCACTCTCGGGCAGCGCAGACATCACTGCTTACCTCGGCAATACCCGCGGGGGTAGAAAACTTAAAACTTAGATGGTATGTGGAGTATACCGCTCGCAGAGCATTAAGCGTGGGTTGACCCAGAAGCAAGTTGTACGGAGAGTCGGCCTTAACCACCACGAAATTGACAGAGATGGTTCGACAATGGGGGTGACGCCCCACAGTCACCATCCCTTCGGGATGCACGATGTGTCCCCCGAACCCTACCAGGGGGGTCCTCACTGGGGTCATTTGTTCCCTGATCAACTTAAGACTTTCAAAAATGCGGAGGTACATGACGTCCACCGAACTCCCTGGGTCAACGTAGACCTTCTTAGCAATGTAATTGTTGGTGAGTACCTCAATCATCAAAGCTTCATGGCTGCTCGAGGCAGTTGGGATAGGATCGCTGGGTCCGTAAAAGATCACTTCGGATAGGCGGGAGCTTGACTCGGCCTGATCCGGATTAGCTTGCCTTTAGGTCCTCTTCCGGGAGTTCTGACTATCTCTTCCCGTTGGACCTCCGACGATGGTGTTGATGACCCCGGCTATGTTAGGTCCATACCCTAACCCATGACCTGAAGATCCGTCTCGGGGAGGCCTTTTTGTCTCCCTAGGATCCTCAGGGGGCCTGCAGCTGCTTCTCGACATCCGCCTTTCGTCTCAGCGTTGGTCACCCCGGCCGTCACGTCGAGGTTCATTACGTTGATGACCTCCACCTCGGCGGATGAACTCTTTTGAGGTCGTCGCAGTCTTCGGTCTCATGCCCGATGTCTCGGTGATACAGGCAGTAGAGGTTCGAGTTCCTCTTGTCTCTGCTACCGTACATCTTCGGAGGTGCCCTTCCGAGATTGTTCTGTTCCATCACGGACAATACTCGGGATCGGGTAGTATTCAAAGGGGTCAACTCGGACTCGGGGATGGATGATTTCCCCTTAGATATCCTGTCAAACATGCTGCGGCGATCTCGGCTAGGACTTTGGAAGCCGCTTCCTGTGCCTACTTCATTTCGGCCAGCGTCTTTTCCCCTTCGTGGATCAGTTCTTGAGCGGGCGGCTTGGATCTCTTTCTTCATGCGATTGAGGTCTTCGGCCTGTATGCCCTTCTCGACCTTCAACCATAGTTCCTGGAGTGTGCGAGGATACTTCTTGTGGATCCCTGTATTGAATACCCCGGCAACGAACCCGTGGGTAAAAGCAGCGATGGTAACCTACTCATTGGGATCAGGTATCTGCACGCTTTCCTCATGGAATCTCTGGACGTACGACCTAAGTGACTCTCCCGGGTTCTGTTGCATATTCAGCAGATAAGCCGAGGTCCTGGTCATAGGTCGGGAGGATACAAACCGGTGGAGAAATCTCTCCACTAATTCCCCCAGGGTCGAAATGCTCCTAGATTCTAAACCCCAGAACCATTTTCGAGCTGTCCCCTGGAGGAATACTGGAAAAACCCGGCATATGACGGGGTCAGGGATGCAATATAGGCGGAAGGCCGAGATAAAAACATGGAGGTGGTCCTCGGGATCGCCTCGGCCGTCGTAAGATTTATCGAGGGGAGCTTAAAGTTGGGGGGAAGTCTTTCCTCGTTGATATCATCCGTAAAGGGTAGAGCCCTCATGTAGTTCACACCGGATGGTCCCAAGGGCCGAGGTTCCTCCTCAGGTCGTCGTCCTAAGAGTTCTCGGGAAAATGCCTTGGTCAGGGAGGCTACCTTAGAGGTGGTTTTGGAGAATGCCCGCTTTGAAGCACTCCGGCTTAGGCGCCTCCCATCAGATTCTTCTTCAGATGAACCTTCAGGAGATCCATCTGACTTCCTTTTAGAGGACTCGACTTTTTGCTTGTCTTGTCTCTTAAGATACCTCCCTAACTCCTCGAAGATGTTAGGGTTCTCGATCACAAACTCGGCCATACAGGTTATGGCTTCTTCATTTGCAGGCTGAGTTCCTGGGAATTCCTGCCCTTCGGAGATGTCTTCCTGCTGAGCTGCGTTACCTTGCTCAGCCCCAATGGCGAGAGCTTTTCTGCTCCTAGAACGCGTAAGCTTCATCCTCTGATGTCTTCGCGTTCCCACAGACGGCGCCAATTGAAGAGGTGTTTTTTGGACCTGCTTGAGTGAATCGCGAGTTGTAAGTGCTCTTGCTTAGAGAAGTCGCGATACCGGGGTCACCTGTTCAAGCTAAAAGAGGGGTTGAATCCCCCGGTATAGCTCCGAAGTTTAAGTTAGTTCGGGATTGAAGAAGTAATTTAACGGTTAAGAAGATTAACATAGCTTGCTTTACCAGCAATTGATCATCCCCTTTCTCAGTGGAAACGTTGGATATTTATAGGAGATGGACAGGAGAGAGGGACGGCTGGTACAGGTCCCTAGAGATCTGATATGGACAGCGTATCAAGTTGATTTGATTGGTTTCTGTGAAAAGGCGCGCCGAAACAGCTGCCAGAGTCAGGCGGCGCATGTATCAGAGCAGTTTTCTGTTAGGTGTCAGATGTGTCAGAAGTCACACCCCCACCCTTCTGCGGTTGTCAGACACTTAATCGTCATTTCGGCTCTATGACGGGAGGTCTTAACCGAGGTGACGAATGGGTCGAAGTCACCTTAGCAAATAGATTGCCGAGGCAGCCCTTCCAGGAGAACCACAAGGTGCGGCCCCAGTTTATCCGAGCCGAAACGACCATCCTCACTGTCTTACATAGCACTTCTTTCCCCCAAACAATCTTATGCCATGAAACTGTTATTGCTTTTAACGCAGACTTTGGAGTACAAATCCCCGGAATAGTAGGTGTCCACCTAGCTAGCAGTAGTATCAGCTTCACATAAGCTGGTAATCGAGCCGAGTATTTGAGCTCAATTCGAGCTTAATTCGAGCCGAGCTCGACTCGCCTAACGAACTTTAAAATGTGTTCGAACTCGACTCGTTAAATGTACATGTTGCTCGAGTTCGAGCTCCTGCAAATTAACCTCAATAAAAATCTATAATTTTCAATTTTTATACTTTTGACTTCTAAAATGACAAATATGCCCTTTATTAAGTAGCTCTAACGAGCTACTCGGATATCTTACTCGACTCGTTAACTAAACGAGCACATTTCTAGTTCGAGCTCGGCTCGTTTACCTCAACTAACGAGCCGAGTTCGAGCCTTATCAAGTCGAGTTCTAACGAGCTTTCGAGCTACTCGTGTAGTTTAACAGCTCTATTCACATGGCATAGGCAGAAACTGAGCGGGTCTATGTAGCATGTAACACATACTAAAAAATAGTAGGAAAAAAGTACTTATGAATACATTAGACCTTCACGAGTTTCTTTCCCTTTAGGTGTAGATGTTGTCGTTGATTAGGGATTAAAACGGTCAGACTCAACTCAGACTATTGTACTAGATTCGTGTTTAAATTAGATTCGACCCAAATTCATAATTTAATATATAATTATGAATTACTATGAATTTATATATAAATTATTAACATTTTATGCAATAATATGTATAATTATAAATTATAGATATTAATATATATTATATACATAATTATACTCATATACGGGCGGAGAGATGAATTGAATGATTCGAGAGAGTGGAAGTACAAACGAGAGATTTTAAATTCGAATCCTCCTACTTATATTAAAAAAATAAATAAAAAATATACTTTTATACGGGCTAAACCTTAATCGAGTCTGAACCTAGCATGAATTAAATTCGATTCACATTTAGCTCGAATCTAATATTTAAATTCAAACTCTGTCCCGTCCAACTAAATCTTAGGTTCAGCGAATGTTTTTTCGACCAAACAAGATGAGCTGGATTGATTCGACCTCATTGACAGACCTACCGTTAGGGTTGACACCTCAGAAGGGAAAAATAAAGAAAAGGAAAAACTACGATGGAGCTTTGGAGAATTATTAATATCGTACTACGACCAGGAAAAGGCTGAAGTGAAGTACACAGTTAGGGGGAAAAAGAGGAAGCCAGAACCTTATCATTAACTTGATCACCTTTTTGTGTTTGCTGGTCGCTGGATTTCCCATATCCATCATGGTCTCTACAAAATGGTACACATGTCACATTGCAGGGCCACAGAGGGGCTTGCTCCAAAATGGAAGGCACCAAATCAGCAGTTGGAAAAATGGGGCCTAAGCTACTGCAACAGTACTAGAGCTAGCATCTCACTCAGCAAACTGTAAAGCGAAACATGTTTTGGGGTAAATGGGCAGGGACGGTTGTCTGGGACAACCATCCGTAGGCCTATTTCCTAGTGAACTAACAACTACCATGTACCAACCCAATAGATTCTATCGAATTATCAATCATTCTATTTCCTTCACAGTTGGAAGCTTGCCCGATCCACTTTTTAGTTTTTACAGTTGCAAATTTTTTTTCTTTTATTTTTTCACTAGCCGCCAAATTTCAGGCGAGCCAATTAACAGTCCACAGCCGTCATATAAAAACCTCCCTAAATGCGGGATGGATCCCACAAAAATGCAAGTCAAAATGAGCGAGCCAAGAGAGAAATGAGGAGTCTTATTCTAGTTCCACCATTTCTCATCTACAGTTCTACACCATCAATCTTTTGTTATGGCCCTCTTCTTGCTCTTGACTTTGAGTCCACCCAAAGGGATTAGGATTCCATATGGGTAGTTTTTTTTGACTTTTCTTTTTCTTGAATTTTTCATTGACAAAAATCTCCTTTTTTAATTGAATCTTGATCCCGGATTTCGTTGTTCTGCTTGTTTTCTTATGAGTGGGAGAATCTTGATCGGATTTTCACCTTTTTGTTTGTTTCTTGAATCGAGTCGGTATTTCTCATGATTGGGTTTTTCGAGCATTACTCAAGTTGTCCGCCACTTGGAAAGATTTCTACTCTATGTTTCTAACTAGCTGATTTTGTTTCTGCTTGTTGGAACTTGGGTTTGCTGGACTTGAATTCTACTTTCTATCATTGAATCGGCAATCTAAGATCGAAGATTCCCAGTATTTTAGTAGCCTTGAAATGCAAGTTTAGTGTTGTGGCACCTTTTCTTTAAAAAAAAAAAATTTGTTGTTTGCCTTTTCTTTTGGCCGTTTTGTTGTCTGAATATTTGCTTTAGGGGGTGAGTTTCAACCTCTGTTGTTTTTGGACAACTGAGGCCTAAAGAAGTAGGAAGTTAGAGATGTTTGGCTCGGGGATGAATCTGATTACCACCATTATTGGATTTGGAATGAGTGCCACTTTCATTGTCTTTGTCTGCACAAGACTGATTTGTGGGAGGATTCGCCGGATGGAGTCACGGCAGATGTTTGAGATTGGCTCAAGAATGGAATTTGAACTGGTATATAGTTGACCCTCTTGACAAACTTCTTTCTTTCTTAATTTTCTGTGACTTCCATTGGAACTCATCTTTTAATTTCTTCTTCGGGCTTGCATTCGTTACTCCCAAGAGCTGGTTTACTGAGTTGCTCTTTAGCTTACAGATGGATGCTGTTCTTTTTTTACCCTTATTTGATTGCTCAGATTTTGCATTGGTCAGTATGATTTTGAAGCTATCAGTGCAGTTTCCAAAAAAATTGTTTGATTTGCTCTAGCACTAGTGTACCATTGCTAGCACTTGCCATCTGTTGGTTGCTAGCCATTCTGAGCCGCAGCTTATAGGAATTTTATAGTTGAAATTGTTAGATGTTGGTGAGCTTGAAATTATGTATCAACAAGATGGTTTCCGCTTAAAGAAGAAAAGGGATTGATTTAATGGCTGAAAAGGGAGATCTTCTTACCATCTGAATTCATCTCTATCCTTCTATACATCCTGGTATTAAGCTGCATGCTAATCGAAGAAAAGCTGCATGCTGGTATTAAGCTGCCAACTCAAATTTCCTCCCTTTATCCCGGGCATTAGATGAATTATGCAGGCAATGTCAAATTGAGCACGAGCAGGAGCAACACATCATGGAAGCCGAAGTATTCAACAGTCTAAATTGGGAAAATCTGAGATGATATTTTAATAGAGTGATGGTTGGCTAATTTAAAGAGGACAACTAGAAGAAATATATATCTTCAGGAACTATCTTTTGTTTCTCAGAATTCATGCTTATTAGAAACTGAAGAAATATCGTTGATTTATCTCTGTATCTTTTCGTTTTAGACTTGGCTGTACAAACCTTGCAGACTGCCGTATTTTGGAGTGCGAATGCTTTCTCTATATTTTTTGGTTGGTTCTAGCCGTGCAATGCATGAAGATATGTTTCCTGTTGTTTTTTCTTTTGTCATCCATGTTGGGTGGCATTTGACCTTTTTAATGTATTCGTGACCTAACAATGGAATTGTCTTCTTGGTTGGCAGCCAGAGCATCGGATCAGTGGCCTTGAACCCACTGTTGTTGCTGCAATTCCGACAATGAAGTTTAAACGGGAGGCGTTCAGTTCCACAGAAGACACACAGTAAGTTTAACCACCTACGTTTTGATTCACGGTGAAGATCAATTTTCAAATTCATAGACTTCTTTTATTAATTCCACCTCCTACATTTTGATTCACAGTGAAGTTCATTTTTCTAATTTAACTTTAGTAATTGCTAAACAAACACAAGTACCATTTCCTGACAGATAATTAATCTCATGGATCAAGAATTTGCTGTCACCATGATTTTCAGAAGAATAGATATTTGATTATTGTTTCTGGCGCTTGACAAGATAATTGATGTGAAAACTCGTACAACTAAACAGCAGCATGCCTTTAGGAGCGTCCTACATCAAAATAATGAATTAATGTATCGCAAACTGACCAAGATAACCAAATGTTGAGGAGAATTTCAAGCAAGTTTTGTACAAATCCACAAGCTGTAGAGCTGGAGAAATGTGCCTTCACCAAATTTTCTTCCTCTGGGAAAACATTGTTTTATTTACACCACAAACAAGCATAGTTTTCTGCCCGTGTTTGTCAAAATTTATTAGTCTCATGAATTTTAGGCAGGGATAAGCACAGAAGCATCCTTAGCTCTGGTCAAATAAAGTTGCCACGAAATTTTCAGAATAGCCTATGAACAGCTTTCATAGTGTTACTATTTGCTGTTAGTTTTCAAGTGCCGTTGTCCAAGAATCAGCATTTGGACTTGGCCACCAGTTGTTATTGCAATCATACTGCTGCTTGGTGTCCTTTAGATTTCTGCACAGCAAATGACTGAAACTTAACAAAGAATATGAAGTCAGAAAGGTTTTCTAGAAACAGAAACCAATTTGCCTTTTTAGTCTGGATTTTGCTGGTACTGCAGCGTTAATTGTAAGCGTTAATTCAGTTGTTAGGTAAGTAGGCATCTCTATTCTCTAGTACCTATAGCTGACAATTGTTCTGGAAAATTATCTTTAACTGCATAACTTTGCATAATCAAGAATCCCCACTGATAACCTTGTTAGTTGTCGTAATCATGTGCTACAAAATTAAGGTAGTGCGCAGAAGTTGTAAAGCAGCGCCCGCCCAGTTTAATGACCAAATAATAAGGTGAACTTACCATTAGAATCATGCTTTACCTTTCTGGCTTCACTGCACTGGAAAGAGCCCATCTAAGAAGAAAGGATGGATGGTTGATAGGGTCAGTATGTATCGAGTCTAATTATCTATAGTTTTTAGCTCAATGTCCTTTGTAGGCCACTGATGAAGATGGTAAAATCTTAGTTCTCGCTCTCTATGATGATCCTTTTTTTAGTGCACTTGATCACATAAGTTAGTTATTTCCAGCAAAATCTGGTACTTTCTTGTTCAATACACGTGAAATTTCTCAGTCGAAGACCTAAGGAGAATTTCATGCTCAAGAATCAAGAAGAAAGAGCGTATGGCTCAGGATAACCTAACAGGTTCCTGCTAGATAAAGGGTCTCTTTGCAACATTGGTGTCTTTTAAGGAGGTGGGATTATATCTAATTCTGGTTGGAGTAGGAGATACCATTGTCCAAGCAAATCCTAAGCTAATGGTACTTCACAACTTTGCATCTTCAACTGTAAAAAAAAGTATCAGTTTCATGAGCTGTGAAACCATGAAATTGCCTATTTCGAAGTGCTAAAAAAAAATGAAACCCAGCAGTCGGGGGCCTGCTTTTTAATAAGCCTAATGAAATCTTTCAAGTCACATGTTGTCATGTTTGTTTGCGTATCTAAATAAATCGCTACTAGCATTAGTGCACTAGGCCAAAATCATTTTTGGTAGGAGAAGGAAGTGAAAAAAAAAGAAAGAAAAAACCTACGCTTTCATTACCACAGAGAAGAATAAGCTGTGTTATTTTGGCTTAGCAGCTCCTTTCGTTCATAAAAGGCAAGGAAGAAATTTCATAAATTTCTGAATCCAAAGATACAAATCCTGTGAGAGTGTGAGAATAAACAAGAAATTACTGTGTTTTGTTTTGGCCCAATCATGAGTTTAGCATTTTCCTTGCAGGTGTACCATATGCTTAGGCGACTATGAAGATAAAGATGTATTGAGGATTATGCCTAAATGTGGCCACAGTTTTCATCTGTCTTGTATTGATGTTTGGCTAAGGAAACAGTCTACCTGTCCAGTTTGCCGTCTCTCAGTTCAGGACTCTTTCGAAGCAAAATATGTCCACCCTACGACCCGTCGCACAACCCAATCTTTTGACGATTCAGAGATTCCAGTTGAGCAATCTCAGCATTCTCAGATATGGCTGCTTCCTGCTGGTCAGCGGCCAGAGGGCAGTGCAAGCACCACGTCGCCTGCCAATTCTGTTACTATAAATGTTGAATCCAGTATTTCTGGAGCAGCAGCATCGAGGCATGAACAAGGGGAATCCGTATGACTTAAAATTTTTTCTTTTTCTTTGGCCACTCTTGTCATGCTGCTGGCATATGCTCTCTCGGCAGTCAATATTAATAGGGGAACCGGATCTGCAGAAGAAGCTATTTCAGAACACTACGCAGCAGGGTTGCGATTGTACACCATGTCTGTAAATATGTTTTAGCATAGCAACGAGTAGGTGAATTGAAATGATGGTCTAATTTGCGAAGAGTTTTAGAGGAGTTTTGATACTCGAATTTGGTGACATGCATACATTTTTTTGGTATCGAAGTGGTACAAGACATCCAAGTAAATTATTGACTGGGCTCCAGCATAACGGATACTTCATTAGAAGTAGCTGCATTTCAAGATTGTGTTCATTCTGCGGTTTGAAATTCAACTAACGAAAAGTATCCAAGTTTTATGTATCCTGCAATTATGTTCTACAGTGTTGCTGTTGCCTGTTGGTTCTCCTGAGAGGACATTGGATAAATCATGTGCACTGCTTATTATTATTATTTTTTTTTTCCAGATACGATAGATTCTATTTTACACCTACTTCTATTCTATGTTAGGGGGATCCAAAGGGGTTGGAAGGAACTCGGGGAATCGAACCATCACCGGTCCAAATCGGTATCTACGCACCTGCTAGCTAAATATTCTGGGAAATCCTGGATTTAGAATGTTTTGACCTACACTCAAGTAGAGCCTTAAGACTTTCTTGGTGGCCAACTAACTCAGGAGTAGTTGGTTTGCACTGCTTAGTGTATGGTATCAATGACTCATCACCAAGTACTGATGTCAAGTCATTCCTTGTCTTTTGTGTGGTAGATACCATACAAGGGATGGCTCATTATAATAGTTGGCATATATTGTGTAAGGAATAATTTTTCCTTTAACTTTTTTTTTTAAAAAATTTTTCCTACTAAGGCAGGTGTAGGGGATTAGAATTCAAAACTTTTATTTCCCATAGTTTTGATAAATAATTTCAGATTATCCCTCGAACAAACGAACAGAATAATAGTGATAATTTGGTGAATTCACCATAATATTATAAAATAACTTCAGACTATACCTAGAACAAACGAACATAATAACAATGGAAATCTAAAGAATTCACCATAATATTTAGATATTATAATCCATTCCTGAATTTAAGAAACTTTTGCTTACTAATTAACGGACTACCTCTTTAACTAAAGGGATTAAAAAAAGAAATTTTTTTTGTTAAAATACAAAAACTATATATGTTATCCGGGTGTAATCGAGTTAGAATTATATGTATGACTTTACCCGTTTTATTACGAGAGATAAACTTAAATTTGAAAATTACTAGATAACAAAGAAAAACCAGACAATCAATTCCGAGGTTAGGTTGTTGTTTTTGATTTTTTTTTTGGGTTGAGTTTAGCTGATTGTAATAAATTCTGATCACGTTTAGTTCCAAAATCTTATTTCAAAGGTCCTAAGCTGGTCGAGAGGACAACCCGGGGCGGAACAGGTTCCACGGTTCGTCTCCTCCATTAGTAAAAAAGGAGTCAAACCGGAAAAATGGAACCAATCCGAACCAGGCACCTCAAACACAAACTAGAGCTTTTGCCCGTTTTGGCTTCCTTTCAGGAGATAAAACAGCGAGAAGAGAGAACGGGGGTAGCTATGCTACACGTGGGCTTCATCTCCTTCTCATCCTGCATTCCTTCTTTTTCAAGCGGTGGTCTTGGTAGAAGATGTGCAAGATTCTCCTTCACTAAACTACACAGGCCTCTTGCAAGTAACAAAAGAAACCATTGCTTCCCCCACCTCCTCCCCCCCTCCCACCCCCAAAAATTCATGCTTGATGAGTTTAACAAATATGGCCCCCCGACTTTTTACCTGGATTTCAATGTTTCAGTCTCCTGAGCTGCTAACTTTTACAATTTAGCTTGTGGGTCTGTCTTCTTTTACCAGATTGAATTGATGATGATTATTTTTATTATTTAAATGCAATTGGTGTGTATTCATTATTCAATTGACACAAGTGTTAGTTTGTTTTCCAGTATCTTTTTTCCCTCGTTTCCTTGTGAATGGAGTGCAATGCGTTTCAGGAGTTATGTTGGACCTCATTTCTGTTCAAAGTTGTGCACTTTTTTACCATTTAAGTGTTATGTGATCCTTTTTGGCCAAAATAATTGAGCTGAACTAAACTGATGTTTACAGCTGATCCCCAATTTTCATTATTTACCGCTTTCTTTTCAAAATGACTCAATCAAGTGTGTATTATTTCAGTGTCAAGCTTGAGTAATGATCCTATACGGGAATGGATCCTATCAGAAGGAAAGGCAAATGAGATTACAAGAATTAGTCCTGTTGGAGGTGGTTGCATCAATCTCGCTAGTCGTTATGACACTGATGCTGGTTCCTTTTTCGTTAAAACTAACAGGTATGGATGAAGCCAACTGTTCCTACTTAGTGTGGTATCCTGCTTTTTTATCTATGTGAATCTGCCCCTAGTTTGATTGATCACATATAGTACAAACTATAAGTGGGTAGCATGAGTTTGTGTGCTTCTAACATATTGATGAATCTGAGACTTGATAAAAGAAGAGAATATGAAACAGCATGAATGTTGTATTTGTTTTTTGACCAACAAAATATATTTCTTTTTTTTTTCTGTAAAACTAAGAGATTAATGTATGCTTTCATGTTCTTACATTACTCCAAAATTTGAATAGGAGCGTTGAACCATCAATGTTTGAGGGAGAGGCTTTAGGTTTGAATGCTATGTACGAAACTAGAACAGTCCGTGTGCCTAAACCATTTAAGGTGAAGTTATAACTTATAAATTATATTTTAATGGTTTCTTCTCAATTACTTACTATCTGCCCTTAAATTCAGCGCTAGGCTATTTGACATGACAAACTTGATAAAATGTAATTCTAGGTCGGTCCGCTTCCAACAGGTGGTTCATATATTATCATGGAATTTATAGAGTTTGGTGCTTCTAGAAGTAATCAAGTAAGCACAGTTCATTCCTTCTTCCATCCTCTATTATTCTCGGCATGCTTTTCTGCAGCTATTTGTCTTGTTATAATTTTCATTGAACTTGAATCACCAGTCTACAGTCTGTACTAGGGAGGAAGCTTGCTGAAATGCATAAAGCAGGGAAATCTGAGAATGGCTTTGGTTTTCATGTGGACAATACCATTGGAAGGTAATTAATTTGTCCATTTCCGAGTTTACAATACGTAACTTTCCCCCAATGCAAGTGCAGTTGCAAGCCATGAAAACATTGTATATATGTCTGTATAAACCCCTTTGCTCCTCTATCTACATAAATTTCTTATCTCCAAATATCATGTCTGGGTTGATAATTCCATGTATCAGCTTCTGATTTACACAGGGAAACAAAACATTTTTTGAGTTTTAACTACTTCAGATACATTTTTGTAGCACTCCACAGATTAATACTTGGACATCAGACTGGGTAGAATTTTATGCAGTGCATAGACTGGGTTATCAACTGAAGTTGGCAAGACAACAGTATGGTGATTCGACCATATATGAAAGAGGTATTGATTATTTGTACTATTTTTTTGAAATTTAATGAACAAAATGGATGAGTATGCTGACTGTAGCATTATAATAAATCTTCCAACTGACTTGTAGGCAACTACTGATTGGTAAAGTGCATAAATCTCCTGTTTGAAAAAATATTTGATGACATTCTAGAATTGGGATTTGGCCTACACAGCAAATGGAAGAAGCTAGCTGTGCGGTGGTAGTTTAATTTTGGCAGTGGTGGAGAGGAAATTACCGGGAGTGAAAGATGGTAAAAGTGGCGTGGCAGATGGTCTGCCTTTTTGGCTGCTCTTCTACTTTATTCTTCCCTTCTCATATGTGCATGGACACTTGATGCAGGAGAGGGAGGAAAAGGAGAAGGAAGTAAGGCTTGGTTTGGGAGTTTTGAAGAGAAAAGAAAAGAAGAGAAAGTTTAAGTTGTGAAAGAAATGAAGAGGAGAAAGGAAGGGCAGGAACTTTGAAGTTGTTTAGGAGTTTAGGAATGATTTTGGACATGTTCAGTATTAATAATTTTTTAATTGGTATATTATAGACAAATGTGGCATTTAGAAAAAGTTTGGAAGCTTTGGTTTCACTTTACTTCCATTTCTCTCCATATTTGGAGAGAGTTTTGTTAACTATTCATCCTCCATTTCTTTTCCTTCCACTCAAAAACTCTCAAACAAAGGAAAAATGAGTCTTTCCCTTTCTCTTCTTTTCTTCCAAATCTTTCCATCCAAACTAGGCCAATGGTAAAGAGGATAAGAAATTGATAGACATCCATTTCCTTATTTTGTGAATACGCATAAAAACAACAATATTTCTTTAATTTGTATTAAATTTATCAACATTCAGTAAATGACCCTGAAAAATGGATGGACTTTTGCATACAGGACTAAGGTTGGCAAAGAATATACGGCCTCTTTTTGAGGGTGTAGCGATAGAGCCTTGCTTGTTGCATGGGGACTTATGGAGTGGGAATATCACTTCTGATAGAAATGGAGAACCTGTCATCCTTGATCCAGCTTGCTACTGTAAGTTTGTGTTCTTCTGCTCTTTTACATTATATTAGCATCTCTTTAACCAGAGATTGCATTTGTTTTGCTATTATCAAATGACTTCAGTTTGTTAATTTCCAGCTGACCATTCTATTGTAACAAAAAATCAAGTAGGTCTAAGTATGACTAGTTATGGATGTGATTTGCACCCATCTTTTGAATGGAAATATGTGCTTGCACAGCATTGTGCACAACGCTCAAATTGCAGTTACTAGTACAGTTGCAGCTTCTCTGATAAGAAATTTTTTTTTTTGCGGCAAATTTTCAGACCGAGGATGGATCTTCTTGATGATTTCAAACCTTTGTCATTGTTGACTGGAACTTTATGTTGTAGTATTAGTAAAGGTTTATGCAAGATATAATATGTTGAGAAACAAAAGACTACTGGAAATGAATAATCTGGAGCAACTGTCTTCGTAAATTTGATTAGAAGTTTGTTTTTGATCCCTGAGAACAATACTATCCATATGATAAAATGATTGATAACAGTTTAAAATGTTATTAATCACATCCTAGAAAATTACATCTTAGCTGAAAAACTTTATTCAGGACCTCAATTGTTAAAATATTAAGCATCGGTTGGGAACTTGGGATGAATATAAACCTCTTCATCTTGTGCAGATGGGCATTGTGAAGCAGAATTTGGAATGTCATGGTGTGCTGGATTTGGAGGATCTTTCTACAATGCTTACTTTGAGGTACTATGTTTCAAACAATTTTTTTGTCAAACTTTGATAGAATAGAACATCAGATTAATATGCTTTTTTGTCTGCTCAAGTTCTTTGTTACCATCTTCCCAAATTTTGCAGTTAGCTCTTTGCCTGTTGCCATTTTGGTATTTATGGAGTATTTCGACTGCTAGCTTTTAATCTTTGTGTGCTATTTCCTCGTACAACTGAACAGAAATCTCCTTTTGTTTCTGTCTTCTGTATCAGGTGATGCCCAAGCAACCAGGTTTTGAGAAAAGGAGAGAACTGTATCTGCTGTATCATTACCTTAATCATTACAATTTGTTTGGCTCTAGTTATCGATCATCTGCCATGTCCATAATCGATGACTATCTGCTCATGTTAAAAGCTTAGGCTAAAGATTTTTTTTTCTTTTCTTTTTTAAGGCTAGGCTAATTTAAAGATGGTTCAAAGATGTATTATTTCAGTGTAAATTCTGTGATCCGATTTTGTCTGTAAATTATGCCCAATAACATCAGTTGACCAGCATACTTAGGCCATTGGTTTCTGTCATGTCTGGTTGGCCTGTCCCCTCCTCCCACTACTTAAAGTTCCTCCCACTGTTTCATATCTGGTGAACAATGGGCGGAGCGACAGCCATCAAACAAATTCTATCCATTTATATGATCTTTTGGTTATATCATTGATAATGGAGTATTCTCTTACGGATTGAAGCTTATTTGGAGATTTTTTTGTTAAAAAAAAAAATTAGTATAGCACTTGTCGTGATGTAAATGTATGTGAGATAAGAAAAAGTTATAAACAAAAATAAAAGCGTTTGAAAACGGCTCCTCTTGATAAGTGAGTTTTTTTGAATGTTTGTTTAAAATTTTACAGTAATTTACCGTAGAAGCTGTAGAAATTTTTTTTGAAATATGTAAATTTTGAAATATTTTGAAATGTAAAGTTTAAAAATTTTGAAAAGTTTTTTGAGGTTATTGTAGTTAAAATTGTTAAAAAACTTGTAACAGATAAACTTGGCCAAAAACTTGTTTGCCAATCAAAGCCTTCATTTTTTATTTTTAAGAAAACAAATGTCTCCAAACAAATTTCTTTGTGTATGTCGTTCCTTTCTAAATAGTATTTTGTGATACAATAATGAAAGCATTACAAATACACAAAAAGGATTATAAAATACGTGTTTTCTCTGACAAGTAAGAAAAACTCTTCTATGTCACAAACAACTAAAACATTCATCCGAATTCTGACCAAAGGAAAACCTTTTCTGGGATATTTATTATTATTATTTTTGTATAACCCACGTGTTTTCGCATCTATTTTATCATCTGTGATTAATCCTATTTAAGTCGGGCCGGGTTTCTTGTGGGAAGAAACTTTTCCATTGTTGTTTTTTTCATTCTTTTGGATTTCGAATTCGAGATTTCATGGTTAAGGGATGCAAATCCTTTTACTTGCATCATCATCTGTTTGGATAGCAACTTTTTTCAAAAAATTTTTTCGTTTGTATCATAAACACAATTTTTAATTCATCTTTTTATATTTTCAACCACCTTTTTATCTCATATACATCACATCATAAAAAATACTACAGTAATTATTCCAAATAATTATTTGAAATAATGCTCTATCCTCCGTATAAACCACGCTTTTCCAACTTAACCATCGGCAGAGGAAAACACACCAAAAAAAAAAAAAAAGAAGAAAGAAAAAACTGCAAGAACAGCATAAAAGAACATTTGGACACCAACCCGGAGAGGCCCACGCTTTTCCCAATCACGTTGTTTAACTGTTTTTAAGGAATCTAAAAAGATTCCCCCATTGTCAGTGAACCAAATCAATCACGCACACACACACACACAGAGTGGGGGAAGAGAATTGGGGAATGGGTTCAGAAGCTGCAGCAATGGGTGAGCTGGTGGTAGCGCTGGAACAAGCAGCGCTAATGGCTAAACAATTTCCTTCCTCGGCCACTACTGCTGCTTTAGACCCTTCCCAAGTCTTCCAAATTTATTCTTCTCTCCAGACTGCCCACCACCACTTGACTCTCTTCCTCTCCCACCACCCACCACCGCCATTCCTTTTGCCTTTCCAGCCACATCAGGCCTCTTTTCTCCCTTCCCTCCAGCCACCACCACCACCTCCACCGCTCGAAAACTCTGTCTCCTCAGCCGTGGGCGGCGGAGATGAATATGACATGGACCCCATGCAAATGGGTGATGATGATGAGGTTGAACACGATTCCAAGAACACCTCCACTTCTGCTGCTGCTGCTGCCGTTATTGAGATTGAGGGAGTTGAGGATAGGATGAGAGACTGCTTTATTCAGAATAAGAGACCCAAAAGGCCCTTGTCTCCGTCGTCTGTGGCTGCTGTGGCGGAGCAGCGGCCGAGCTATGTCAGTCACGTGGCGGCTGGAAGAGGCGGTTCCTCAGCGGAGCAATTTGATCCCGAGGGGAGTAGATTAAGGTCTCTCGATCTTGTATATCAATTTCATGGTTGAAGAAATGGATAGCAGTGAAGGGAGATATGAACTTTTGCGTATCGCCCGCCTTCCTATTGTATTCTTCAAACTCGAGGAATTATGTACTATTAACAATTTTTTTTTGGAATATATTTGTCTATTATCTAGTACTAGTAGTTTTTGCTTATTTTGAAGAATTTCTGGATTATTTATTCTTCCACCGTTTTGCTAGTACGTGAGTGGCTACAAATGCTGGCTTCTCCTGAGAGCCAATTTGGAAGATACAAGGAATTAGCCTGCCAAATTCATCCTTCAGTGTATATGCATACATTGGAAAGGAACCAGGAGTCATTATAGCATTATAATTTACAGTGATTGCTGTGCATAAAAAAGGGTAATGATACCTTGTGTAGTTCTGTTAAACATGAGCTATCATTGGTCAACATTTTAGCACCATCCAGTGCCAAAAACACACACACACACACACACTTGATATTGTTACACTTCTCTTGCCTACATTTATTTAACCCGTGTTATATATAATCGACAAATGAGAATGATAATCAGAAACTCCTTGTTTCAACAGCGTAGGCAGGAAATATGAACTCCTACCCATCCTGTGAAGAGGCAAACTCAACAGGGTGGCTCAACAATCTAGCTTGTGATCTGGCCTAAACTGATTAGCCCCACCAGAAACAAAAAGTGAAGAGCAGATCTAACATTGTCCGGGTTGGCAATCTTGGGGTTCCTTGAAATACTGTCCTGATATATCCAGTTTGGCAATGATGGATTCTCCCACGAGGCCATTATTCAAATGACACCCAAAATACCTATGGTTTTGAAATCAGGTTGTGCAATTTTACAAAATCCTCCAAAGCAAGCTCCTCTGGTCTTGACTGCATATGAGTACAAAATTAAGATTCAGAGCTGCTCAGAAACTGAGGTAACAGAATGAATGTATAAGATAAATTATTAGAATACCAACCGTGGTTTGAAAACCAACTTCACTCAGAGCTGCTTCTATCTCGGTGGGAGGGCAGATGTGCTGCAGTGTTTTTCTCAGCATTTTACGCTTTCCATTGAATGCTGAGTTCACCTGACATCACGATTGGAGTTATTATGCAGGCAAAAACAAATTGAAAGATATAGTAGCGAGTGGAAAACATAGATTGCCAACTTTTGCGAACAATTCAGAGTCACAGCTATGTGCAACGGCATTTATAACAAAAGGTCAAATTAATAAAATATCAGTATTTTAACTTCTTTCCCAGGGCAAAATAATTTGAAAACTAGCAAAGTTCTGATCAAGAGAAAAGAAGAAAGTATTATTTCTGGAAGACGCTGCAACAAGAAAGGCTTTTCAACAGTAGTCTCTCAACATGAATAGTGAGAAAGGAAACCAAACAGAAGAGTAGCTGCTGAGAACCATTGAGAAAAAGCTTTTTGTGGATGAAACTCGTGGATAGTCCAAAGCTTGCTTCAGCCTGAAGGCAACAACTGCTGCATCCACCTGCAGAAGCATTATGAATTACTGATCACAAATGGTCATGGCAAGTACCACATCGTTTTTTCATACATTACCATTCAAAGGCTGTTTATCTGATAACTATCTGCAAACAACTGATACAGATAAACACGCAAATCAATTCTGTGTTCCAATAGGTGAATGTGTATAGCACATGCTTGAAATCTTCAGAAAATATCACGAGCCACATGACTAAAGCATCCACTTGAGATTTACTTTCATTCAGATAAAAGAATTTACTTGCCTTTGGCTGCGGGAAGAAATTTGTCCTTGGGACCTTAAATTTGTACTCAGGATCTGATGAGATGAAAGTGAAGAAAGAATTTAATTTATGGCATACAGCTGCAGATTAATGCCATAGGAAGAACAGGCATGTACAAGAGATAGCTATGACAAAGTAGGTAATAATTATTATTTACTTTGAATATATGAACAAAAAATATTGAGACAACTGTCCATCTTGAACTATGACCATTCCAAAATTAATTCCCACCATAAATGATACTGATCAAATTTACACCAATCCATCTAGTCTCAGTAATATGCCTTCTGAATCACCTGAATAAAAGTTCACAAAAATGTTTATAGGTCGATATTCTGAGGACCTCAAGGATGGATCCACCAAACGCAATGCTGCTTCCTCCTACAAAAGATCAAATATTTCAGAAAAAGATTGACATCATGATGAATGAGAACATCCGTAATACTGATCTGGATTAGAATGTCAGCCTGTTAGCAATGGGGTGATCATGGTTAGCCACCACATTTCATTTGCATTTTGTTTCTCTAAGGAACATATAAATGCTCTAATATCTCATTATAGACTCAAAGGAGAAAATAAACTTTAAGGCACATGGGTTTAAATGCACACGCATGTAGTAACCCATCTGAGGAGCGGTATGATGTTTTAAACTCCCCAAAAGAATATTGGCAAAATTTCAGTCGAATATGGACTATTATAAAGTAGATATTTCTGTTTCTGTTTCAAAAGATTAGACTAAAGCTAAATGCTCAAGTGAGAAATTTGCTGAATTTTGACAGGGTTCTTGCATTTGTAATCGTTGCTTTGGTTATGTGGCGCTACTTTATAGAGGTAGTGGTTTTGCAAAAGCACAGTTAACTTCTGCGCCTAACATGTTGCACATATTACCATGCACAGTTCACTATCAACATTAAAGGTGTCATATCAAAGAAGTGGCAAAGTGAACCTGGAGTAGAAGGACAACTTCTGAGAACATGTCACCCATTGGAAGAAGTTGTTTTACCACATCTGTACTTGTATTGAAAGGTATATTGGCAACTACCTGCAATTAATCAGTGAAGGTACAGTTAAATATCCAAGTCTAGCGGTGAAGAACAATATAACAACCAAGCTACTTCTACATATAAAAAGAATTTGCATCAGTCAGCCTCCTCAAAGTATGTGATATTATGATATGTAAAAATGAGCTGGAGCCACTTCAGGCAATATGGAGCATTGTCAAAGAACAACAGAGAGAAATAGACCCTAAGCAAAAAATCAGATCACCCATGAGAAAGCCATCTCATAACACTACACACTTAAAGGGCTATAATAACCTTGAAGAAAACCGAAATTAGATTCACTCAGCCAAGCCTGGTGGTCAAGTCTAACTATCGTGCAATCGGGACAGACAAATTTAATGTCATCAACAGCACATATTGCTAACTTTTAACTTGCTGGAGAGCAAGTCTAATATAATCTGGACAGAAAGATTATCTTTCCATGTATTGTCCTCAAAGTTCGTATAATTTCTGGATATGAACCATTGTGTCTTCATGATCAAAAGTTGACCAGCCCGTAACATAGCACTGAAAGCAAGATTTGTTATCACCTTTGCACGTTGTGACTCCACAAAACTTCTACCTTCCATAATCAGTGACATGTGAGAGCGTATATGACATCTTGTAAAATCTTCCTGCAAAACCTGCATGTTCCAACAACAAACAAAGGAACATAATGCATTCTCTTCCTGACAACAAAACTCCTAGTAAAGCATTAAAGCATTCAAAAGTTTGATCAATTTCTATGAACAGTATAAAAGACCTATAATTCGAGAATCCATTTGCACATGGAATAGTTTTTTTTCATAACATGAAATATCCCAGTGGATTACAGAGAGAAATAGAAAATAAATGAAAAGGTATTCTGGAAACACGAGTGGAAACTTTTCCAAACAACAAGACATGCGAAATCCTTCCCCAACTGAATAGATCCCAATTTGCATTTGTTAAATTTTATGGCAACTGAATTGTTGCCAGAAAATATAAAAATTGGCAAAATCAACATGAGACTCTGGCCGAAAACTAGGTCTGCAGAGTTAATGTACCTACTTCCCTACTTTATCACCACCCTTACATCCTCTCTGGTGGAGAAAGACATGGACCAAATGCAGTCATTCCTGGTAACATCCAAAGTCCTTATGGGAGTTTAATCTGGAGTCCCGCTATGATGCCTCACTTCCAAGTCATTTAACCAATCAAAGAACTACTTTGTCAAGCATGCGACACAGTAAACAAGGGCTAAATGGACTTTCAAAATTGTGAAAGTTAATAAACCTCTAGACAGCTAATGTCATCTATTTTTCCAATCATGAAATTGAAACTAAAAACAAGTATTGGACTCCAAAGATACGAGTTTAATGCAATGAAGCTGATGTAATGTTGGAATGCCACATCAAGTAACTTGAGACATTAAGCTTTCAAGGGAGCTTAAAAAGAAATTATTGCCTGTTGACTTATTGTGGAATATTATTCTGTAAGCTAGCTCAAAATCTATAGAGCAGGTATGAAGAAAGACGCTATCAGGGAGAAATTTCCATAAACCAATGAACAATTGAGTCTTCACGTGCTCATTAACAAAAGGATAGAAGCTTTGAACTTATAAGAAGTAAGATTATCACCTTCACCCGAATTGTATTAGCAAAACGTTCCCTCACAAGTGCTGCCATATATGGGTCCTACAAACGATTAAAAAAAAGAAGAAATAAGGTCCACCTGAGAAGAAGACATCTTTAAGTAAAACTTCAATATTCCACTTGAGATGAAAAAAGTATAAGCTCCTAGACACTGAAAAATATTCTCTTTACTTCTCTTTGTTTTTTCCCCTCCTCACTTAGCTGACAAAGTTTGCTATCCGTCTTTTGCAATCTGTCAGTCAATTAGAAATTCCTCTTTAAGTTCACTTTGGAGACCCTAAGTCCTCACCCTGTGGAAAGGACATGCTTCACATTGTCATTTTTCTTTTCCTTCTTTACTGGAATCGGAATAACATTGGGAAAAGAGCATTCTTTCATCCCCTTCTGAGATTAACACTATTTCTATAGTCCATTGTTATGATCTTAAAACAAAACATGTTGGATTCCCCCCCTCCTTTTCAGTTTTTCCTCACTTCTTAACTTCCACTATTTCTACGAAACATGGCTCAAAAAATTTGAATTCATCCACTCCCTTGACTATCATCTTCAGAATATTGTCAATAGAAGAGAATATATCAAATCTAACTCCTATTTTTAGCTTGATTCACGAGTTTGGGATACAATCAGGTTAAGCAGGTAATCCAATTACTTAGGAAAGCATAAAGGCACGCAAAAACCAAAATTTACAAATGCAGAAATGAAACAGGAAGCAATTGCTGACAGAAATAATTCATAACAACCGGATGAAATGAATAATAAAAATCAAAAGCAGACCTTCTCAATAGCAAGAACAGTGGCTCCAACAGTAACGAGGACATTGGTAAGTGAACCAGTCCCGGGCCCGATCTCAAGCACTACGTCCCCTTCTTTGACATCAGCTGCACCGACTAACTGCTCATTTATCGAACCATTCAACATATAATGCTGCAAACAAAGCACAATATCCTCACAGGGCTCTCCCACTAATATGTTCGATAAAATGCCTCAATCACGGCAAAAACGCAAACAGCTTAAAATTGCACTTACTTGGCCAAGGGATTTGCGGGGAAAGCGACCCTTGGAATTGAGGGCTTTAAGAGTGGTGTGATAATCATCGTCCTGCTTCTGGGTTTTGGTTTTTGGGGTAGAGGGTGATGCTGAAGCTGCAAAACCATGCAACTTGGCCGTTTTAACTTCTCGGATTATGGTGGCGAAGCTGTTGTGGGGCAGTGGCGAAAGTGTAGAGTAAGGTTTGGGTGTGGGAGGAAAAGAAGAATCAATTGGCGCTGGCGGGAGAGAGTGAAGGACTAAAGGATGCATTGATGATAAGTTTTCCTTTTGCGTATAGGAGGGAAATGGATAGCGTGAGCTTGATTAGAATTAGATTTAGGACTCATGACAGAAGGAAAGGAAATTGGCAATGCATTCACAGTCTGCATCTACCCACAAGTGGTCTACTTCAACATCTTATGTTGATTGATCATACCACATTTGAAACAAACTTTTGAATATTTAATATTCATCAATCTACCATTAGGAGAATCCTTTGGCCCCTTAATTTGAATTTCTCGTCGAGGATAATAGTTTAAATTTTAAATCGTTAAAATTGTTATAAATTATGGATTAATAATAATACTTGTTCCACCATTCAATTCATCGTGGATTCTGCTTACGGATAAAATGACCAAAAATATTTAAAATTGTTATAATCTATGGATCAATAATACTTGTTTCAATTGTGGATTTTAATTGTGGATGGAATGACCAAAAAAAAAAAAAAACTGTTGAATATTCTACATTTATCTCTTTGTATTTTATCCACGTACGTCTATTAGCCCATGCGATAAATTGTTTTACAATTTAAAACCTCAGTATTGGAGTAGAAAATGAGGCTTATCAAACTAGGATATAAACTAGTTTAATTAAATTGAATACTCTCAATGTTTTATTTTAAGGGTAAAAACCAAAAAAGTCCCCTGTAGTAAATCTAATATACAGAAAAACCTCTCATGATTTCAAAATATACAACACGAGACTCCGTACTTTGAACTAAATTGTAAAGGTGACGGAATCCGTTAAACTTAACGGAAATGGACAAAAAGACCAAAATGCCCTGATATAATTAAGCAAAAGATGGCTCAAAAAATCATTTGTTTTATTCTCTAGATAGAGAAAATTGATGGTTAAGAGATAGAACAGGTATATTTGTTAAAAATTAGGTATAATTTTTTTTTTAGATTCTAATAAGTCATTTTCTTTTAAGTTTAACGGATTCCGTCCCCTTTATCCTTAAAACTGCATGCACCAACTCCATAATTGCCTCTTTTTCTGGGGCTGGTGGCATTAAGCTTAGCCTTTAACATGCTAAATCAGTCCAGTAAAAGATTATGTGTACGCGTCTATGACAAGATTCACAAGTATTTTCATTATATATAGATGCATTATGTCGTGAGTCTCAGGAAACAGTTCAAGGCTTCAAGCTCGATATATTATTGGATATAATTGAAGAAATAAATGTTCCAAAGTCCGGAACTGCCTGTTAATTTCATTCATGTATTTATTCCTTTCGTTTGTTATTCCTTACATTTTAAACCTCAGTGTAGAATTTGTCCCCCTCATCGTCCCAACAAATTAAGATTACGCTTTCTTGTTCATTCTTCTATAGGCTGCAGGAACTCGAAGCCGATTATATTGGGATGATGTTAATGGCTTCAGCCGCAGTTGGGATCCTCTATGCCACTACTCGGTGCCAAATTCAGTGTCAATCCCACTTATTACGTGATGGTAGAAGAAATTTAAATAAATAACACATGACAAATTAAATAAATAGGACACACGGCATAAATATGGATGTGGCACTGAATTGCCACCGGAAAAGTGGCATTGAGGATCCTTTGTGCTTCAGCCGGCTATGACCCTCGACATGCTCCAATGTATCACAAGAAACACAACAATATGGTTGTGAACGAGGATCGCTTCTTGAGCCATCCGACCGCAGAAAAGAGAGCGAAAATGCTTAACAGAGCTGAAGTGATGAAGACGAAAGCAGTGGACATGTATGAGCTTGTTAAAGCAGGAACAACTTCGTTTAATTAGCTATTTATCCAGTTTTCTTTGTGATATGGCGTAAATGTTACTCTATATGGTCTCTAGATAGCTACTAAGTAGAACAAATTGATACGAGAGAATTTTAGTAAACTTATGCAGAATCCCATTCTTGCATGCCACTTTAAGGCTACTTATGGATACAAATATTAACAGTAGTTTTGCTGCTCTTGAGTTCGCAATATATTCATTCGTTCCTCGTTGCTCAGAAGTTTGTATGAATTCCTCCGGGGTAGGTTTTGGAATTTACTTCTTAAAATATATCATGAATAGACACCTGCCCAGATATGCTTGCTTTTGGCATATTGCTGCAAGTGCTCTTGAGAAAAAGAATTGGAGATGGCAAAAATTGTCTGCGAGAAACTAGAGAGGATAAACAAATCAATTGTACTTCCAATTAAAACATGGATGATGTGCAGGTAGATCAAAGATAAATGATATTTGTGCTCTAAAATAATTCTGTGGCTTGCCACCTTCTTTCATGTAACAAAATATTAGAATGAAGTGTCAGGAGCTATTTTTGAAATGCAAAGATCACTTGCTTAGATAGAATTCTGTACAATTGTTATGCTGATTGCATATTGCGGTATGCATTTACATTATCTTGTTGTGTTATGTAAATTTTTATTTTTATTCTGTCAAAAGTGTGAATTTTGTTTTTATGCACCCGAGTGTTTTAAAAAATACAACAATTTTATATAATTGTATATCGAATGCTGTATAGAGTATAATAACCAAAAACAAACCTGCCCCTTTTCATTTTTTAAACAAATATGTGAGACTCTGAATTTAGTCCTACTCTCCGAATCAACGCAGTTTCATTTTAGTCAAATCTGAATAAATCCACTCTACTACATATTGGCCAGCCAAATCATTGCAAAACCGGCTGATTCTTTAAAAAAAAAAAAAAAAAAATCTGTTTTCTCAACTCAAAACCAGATTTATTGAAAGGGGAAAGGCATTTTGGTGTTTTCTCTAAATTTGCTTCAATGGCATATAACTTTGGGACGCTTTTGGTCACCAGGGATGCAAATGTTCCGTTGCCTCGTGTAAAACAAATTACCATACGTTCTATGATTGAAGTAATGTCCAATGGGTCAATACGTCCCGTATTTTCAAGCAAAGAATCAGATTTTTACTTGGATAATTAACAAGGCTAAACTGATCCACAGTGATATATAAGATATCAATATTTGAGAAAATTCTATGATTTCTTTAAAGTATCATTCTCTCAATTTGTATCTTTATAGATAGAGTTCTACATTTTAAATTATTGAAAACAATACATGATGAGCGATAAAGAGCCCGAAATGTGGTTTTGAACTTTGTATAAGAAGAATTAATCAAACTGGTTGGAAAGTGTCTGCTGATCAAAAGCTGTGCATCTTCTCCCCTCCAGACTTCCCTCCAGTCCAGACTAAGACCTACGTCCCTTTCAGCTTAAACAACGCTTGATTGATAGAGAGCTAGAAATGTGGTCTTCAAATTTGAACTCGAAGAACTAATCAAACTGACGGAAAAATGTATCTTGATCAAAATCCCCATCCCAATACAGATGGGGACATGAGCTGCCTGGCTCATTCATCAGGGTACTGAAATTCCCATCAGGCCAGGAACTGTTCAGTATTTCTTCTAGAGCCAATGGAATCGAAGATTCTTGCTGCGGAATTTGCTGAATAGTAGTTAAAGGTTCCTGGGCTGAAGCATCATTTTGAGATGTCCCTAATAAAGCCACATTATTATTACTTTCCTGTTGGACAGCAGACAATATTGAAGAAGAGTGAACAGCGGTTTCATTCCCTGAAGATGGCATGGAATCAATGTGCGGTGGATCATCAAAAATGCTGTTCAAAGTTGTTGTAGGATATTGGACAGAGTAGTCATTTCCGGGTGGACCTGAGGGCGGAAATGAAGGTTGTTGCTCGTTTGAGGCCAGCAATTGTGATGAGCTTGGAACAGATGGGTTCCAGTAGGCAGGAGTGTCCAAATGCGGCAGAAAAGTATGTTGCTGTAGGGGTATGCTGCAGTCGTTTGCTGCTATTGAAGGCCGTTGGATTGCTTCCACGTCTCCAGGAGTAGTGCATAAATCCTGGGGGAGAGGATGTTGTTGATGGGACTTGCAAGGATCAACAGGTAATGAAGGGCTATGGATTGTACTTCTCTCCATGGAACTCACCAGCTGGGAGATGCAGCTAAAAGAATTTGAAGTATAGTTATTATCTCCCGAACCCTGATTCTGATATTGACCATTTTGTGGCAGGGCTGCATCTGGTGGAACTTGGAAGTCATTTGTGGTGAGTGAAGGCTGAAGTTGATAGTCCAACTTTTCATTCTCAGTTCCAGAAATCCTGGCAGGAGGGGCAATTTCTCTTCTAGCTACGTTACTTACTGAAAGTGAAACACTTGTTCCTCCAAATTCCAGGGACTTCCCGTCATCTGTCAGCTTAAGTCCCATAAAACTTTTATCTAACTGGGAGCTTTCTGCGGGAGCAGCATCGGTACTTGTTGAGCTGCTGCCTTGAACGCTGAACAGCATGTTCTTTGTCTGATCACCATACAGTCCGAATCCATTATTGAATATGCTCCTAGGACCATTTTTCAGCTGCCTTTCCAGGAAGCGCCTCCACCAATCATTGCTTAGGGAATTTGCCGCATAATCTAGATAACTGTTCTTCTGTGACATTAATGCTTGAATGGATGATGACAAGATTGAATTACTTGACTGTTGGAGAGTTCCCTGATTATTGTTGCCTGCCAGCATATTTGATGGTCTCAAGATTGACATAGTACTGCTTGATAGCCTGGAATCACTAGAATAAAGGTGCAGGTTTCTTGAGGCTGAAATGGACTTGATGCCAAGAGAACTTTGATGAAAAGGTGCTTTTCCATTCCCATAGAGCATAGACCTGAGATTTGGATTTCTTTGCAAAGAGCTGAAATACAATGATGAACGCCATGAAGTTATGCTTGATTCTCCAACATGATTTGTGAGGTTCATCCCAAAGTTTGAAACACCAGCTTTTTTCAGTATAATACGATATTTCTGAAGATGTGTAAATTATTAAAAAAAAAAAAAAAGAAGTTAAATTGAGTACATAACCTAAAAAGAAGTGATATGCCATTTTTGTTAAAAAAAATAAATTCAGTTTTTGGACATTTTAGTTTTGCACTATGACTCTTAAGTTAAGTTACGACTCTTGTGGGTGATCCCATTCATTGTCCCCAACGCCGGGAGCAATGATTCTAAGATCTTATGGTGCTGTATTCATAAAATCACGTGTCTTTCTTTCTAGGGAAATCGAGCATTAACTTTTACAGATATGATTGTAATGAGTAATTCTCATCCTCATGCTTGCATCTAAATTTATTACTATC